GAGGACGGCTACAGGGATCCTGACCATTGTGATAAGCCATGGGAGGGTCTGATGAAATTCTGGGCTTCCTTCTGTTTTAAAGATTATAGGTTGGCTTTTATTTTTTTTTATTTGAGAAAGTATACTTTTCAGAAGAATTCTTTAAAGGGTATCACTAAGGTGGCAGAATCACAGCACGCTGATCAGAGATGCTGCTGCAGTTTAACTTTGCTCTTTGTGTAGATGCATAATAGATTTAATAACTTTGGAAAGCTTAACTTTGCAACCTTCCTATTCCATTATCATAATTTTTAAGGCATAGAATGTGCACACTAATCCAAAAGTAACAGTACAGCAGCAGTTATGATACTGCATTTTAATTACTACTAGCCTTCAGCTTCACACTTATTTGAACTTGGCCCGCTTTCTTCTTCCTAATACAAATTTTATTCCTGGTAAGAACTAGTTTAGCTCCATTTTCATAGATCCTCATAGAGGAGTTTAAGGAAGCTTCAAAAGAAAATGTAGTGCAAAATGGAAAAAGTGAATCAAGTGCCTGTGATTTGTGCAAGGCGGATTTCCAGGGTAATTGAGTTTCACTTCTAAGGTCAGTGTAGCATACTGCAATTGAGAATAAACAGGCACTCACTGTAGTCAGTGATTCATTGAAAAGTAAGAAGTTCTAACTGTAGCCAGTATTTTCTTGAGAGTACAATAATCTGAACTTGCTTTACAATCATGGCAGAAAATGCATTTGTATTATAAAATTAAGAAATTATCCTTAATAAAACTGATTTTAAATAAAAGGACATACACTAAACTATAAATGAAGATGAAATCCTCAAAATGTTTTTTAGATTGGACACACTAGTAAAATCCTACCAACTATGCTATTCGAATTCCTCCCCCTGCCCCTTATATAAAAATAAACAAATAAACTTACTTCAGGAAAATACACATGAAGCAGTTCCCTGTTCAGTGAATACATTTTCCTATAGATATGTATATGTGGTTATGTAGTTAACTATTGTACAAAGAGATGGAGGTAGGGATATGTCTCATTTCCTTGCTTTACTTTGACATTGCTTTAATGGTGGCATTTCCATAATGTGGGAAATCAGAGCTTGCTGAAACCTAGTGGCAAAATTACATCTATGGTTTTATAACTGTACCCAGCATATTTCTCTTTTTCATAGAATTTATTTTCCTTTCATCTCATTCTGCATTTCTTTGTCTCTCTGTAGTTCTTTTTTACTGAATCCTTATCTCTGATTTTCAATGGATTTTTTCCTCGAGCCTCTTTCGAGTAGAACATGAACCATATCGTATTTCAATTTGAATAGAAGTTTTGCAGGGAGTGAAAAGGAATAGGTCTGCTGTTAGACTGAGCCAGGACAAATCTCTACGCGCTGCACTTACAGTTAGAAAGTCCCTAGGTTATAATAAGCTGCCTCAGTCATCATCCAGGTCACCACAGGCACTTACCCCAATTTGACATAAAGAAGGGAAGAATTGCATTGATTTATGCTTAAAATTTGATGTTTAAAAAAAGCACTTTGGATTCCAGATATTTCAGGTTTCTATGGATGTGTAAAAATAAAATTATATTTTAATGCTTACTATTCTTTTTTCACCAGAATTTAATTTTGTTTTGTAGTTAAACACAAGAATATACCACATAAATGTATTTTTGTACATAAATTATTTACAATAATGTAAACATTATCTTAGTGGTGTTAACACTGATGTAGCTCAAGCATGATACGTTTAAACATAACTTTTGTCACTGTGTTTTTCATTGGTAGAAAGATAAGCTATTACTATTAAGACTTATCACAGAACATTAGTATATTCTGGAGTAAAAATGTAACAGCCAACATTAATTATACCATATGGAATGTTATAATAAAGTACCTTCTAAAATACAGTGTAAATATAAAGAGCACCAAGAGCAGCAGCCTTCTTTACAAATCTCACTTTAAATAATAAAATGTCACTCTTCTTCCAAAGAATAAATTTTAAATTTAAGCTGGACCATTGAAACAAGCAAGCCACAATCCATATTTTATTTTGTCAGTGAATTCCATGATGGCACTGTGTAATGAATTTACAACGTACAAATGTGGGAGGGACCTCCTGGATCTTTAAACTCTGACCTTAAAATAATGAATGGTTGACAGCCATCTATAAACACAGATGCACAGTTTTGCTGTTGGTGGACAGGTAACGAATTCCTAAAAACGTGCTATAAATGCATAAGCTCTCCTAACCTCTATCTGCTGTGCCATAGCACCTTTTCACAGTGGGATAATGCAAAAGAATGTTCTTATCTAGATAGCAGAAAAAAGAATATTTTTAAAACGCCACTGGACGCAAGCAAGACCCACATATATTAAAGATATATATTATCATCTTTGACATGACCTTGCCCCTTTAAATATTTCATATAACCAGTAATAGAGTTTTTTTCTGACACATTTGCCAAGAATGCTTTAAATGAAACTGTCATTGGGAGTCATATACACATTTAAAAAGATTTGGGCTGCCATCCAAGAATTACATATGCCTGAAACAAATGCTTAAAAATGGCATTCCTATATATGTGAACTGCATGGAAAAAAGTATAAGCCTGTACTGGTTTCCATTTCCCCTGGATTTCTTGCTACACAAGATACTTGGCCAATCCACATCCAAACTCCACATAGAAGGACCAACTGTAATACATACCACGTCCGGTTTACACAAGACCCGAGGTCCTGCATCCCCTTACAATGCCATGTGTGAAAGTATAGACTTCCATCCGTATTTGTTAACTTGCTGGGGTCTGGGTCTGTGAAGAATCACTTACTGCCTGATGGAGATGTTTCACGCGAGCTATGGCTCTGTGGACTATAGCTTTTAGTGGATAGCATTATCAGTCAGATAAAGGTAAGTAGGATTCCCTCAAGATCTCAGATGACCTACTGATGACTAGAAACTCATGTGGAATCACCAGTGATCTGAAAGGAAAATATTTTATGGACAGTGGACGTCACTATTGATTGTTTACTCAGATATTCTGATTAACTTCAGTCTTCTAGCTTCCAACATAGTCATGAATTTTTTTCCTTATGTGTTATTCTTACCACTCAAGCTGGCATCAAGTTAAGTCTTGGTCAGTGGTGTCTAGAAGCTGCCATCTAACAGATGGCCACCTTCAGATTAGGTGGTAGTACAGAGAGAGTCTGAAATCTTAGCACCTGTGCTGTTATGAAATCTGGGGAGGATGACTAATCTATCTTCACAGAGCATTTCTCACCCCAGATTTCCACTTGACTTTTGTTTGATATTGCTAGGATGGCTGTCTGATTCATATCACCCAGTGCATGGTGGAAGTGAAAATAATTCTTACCTTTGGCCCACAAAGGTTTCTAGAGGCCTCCTCTCAAAAAAATCAGTTACGTAAAATATCACAGGAAAAATGAATCATAATATGATACTACTTTGTCTTTCTACATAACCTTCTGTCCAGTTTTGTACTCAGAAATTATTTAGCCTTGGTAATTTGAATCCTGCGTCAGTAAACCTTGAGAGAGTTTCAGAAATTTCCATTAACATTTTTTTCTGAGCTTATTCAGTGATCTCAGTCATGGAAGCTGACAGTACAGAAATTGCTGTAGACAAACTTATATGAAAGAGATGAATGAATTGGGTATTATCTACATGAAAATGATACGTTGGACCATAATGGGGAAAAATTGAGCCATAAAATTGACACCAAAAAGGGTGTCAGTGTTGAAAAACCAGAGGGAAAGCATCTGTAATTCTACACTAAATTTATTAGTGGTAATAAAATAATATCACTAATAGAGTTAAAATTAAACTAATTTAGACACATTTGAGAAAGCCACATGATATGCTTCATGCATTACATCTGGAGTGTACAAAGCTGCACAAAAAGACCATTTAAAGTTGACAGTGGGCCAAAACCACCTGCATCCAAAGGTCATCACAGGTTCATTACAATGGGATTAACTAAAGCCTGCTTGAGAAGTAGTTGTTAGGGACAAGGTGAGGGGAGCCGCTCTGCAGTGGACAGTAGAACACGGGAATTCACAGAATTATTGTAGCAATGACACCATCTGTTGCATGTGGCATCATCTAACGTGTTACTGACTGTATGGGTTTGGTAGAGGAAAGCGTTGAGCGGGAGAAAAGCCACATGAAGTGCAGCCCTGGCTCTGATTTAAAGGGCCTTGCTCCAAGCATTTGCAGTTACATCGTCACACTGCTGAGGTGAACTATAATAGCAGGCTAAGGGAGTAGTCTGACTTTTTGTGTTGTTTCTGGATTTGTCCTACAGCTTTCTCATTTCAGCAGAAGGGCCGATGATCTCAGTCTTGGGGGAATATTGCATGGAAACACACACCTGCTAACCCCAATGTAACAGCAGTATACAAAGAGTCTTTCTTGGGAAACATGAGGCTCAGTTCAGTCTCTTCAGGCCTGCGCAGATGATCAGGATAAGGCTATTTCTGTGAATGATCATCAGGAGACAGAGGGGAAACACTCATGGAGAGGCTGGGAATTAAACTTAGTTACTGGAAAAGAACAGGTTTGCTGAGCATTCAGGCTCTTGTATGGAATTTGGTAAACTGAAAAGCTCTTGCAGTAGGATGTTTTTAACTACTTCTAGTGCCTCATTTAAATGCAGGGATGAAATTTCTGCAAGCTTTTCGTGTAGACTTGATTCTGCCTATTTAAGGCCACAGGAACTTCAGAAAAATCCCAGCTGTGACTGCTCCTGAGGATTTATTTTAGGAAATTTGCTTCCACATTAACAGTCACCAACACAGAGCAGAAATCCACACCTATTTTTAGACTCTTATGTGGAGGATAGCATCAATTAAGAAAGAGGAAAACATGCACTTGATAATATTTCCAAGCAGTTCCACTGTCACAGACCTATTCCCCCCACTGCCAGGAGGCAAAGGAGTTGTTCCAATAATTCATTACTAACTCTGGCTTTTTTCTGCTCTTAGGAAAAGTATTTATTCCTAAAGAAAAGCCCATAGAAACCCGTACAGAAGAGAAGGTCACCCTGGATCCAGAACTAGAAGAAGCCCTGGCCAGCGCTTCAGATACTGAGCTCTACGACCTTGCAGGTTAGATAACACATAGGTATGATCCCCCTACACGTCCAGTTCTTCTCTGCCCAGGCTTGCCACCAGGAGCATCTCATGATCATCTCTCAAGTACCTGTTTCACTATACAACAGGTGGCAACCTGTGGGCCACACATTGCCCATGAGGACTCCAAGCATGACTTAATGCTGCATTTTAGACTTCTCTCATCTACTTATGTTTGATGTGGCACTCAAGGGGAGAAGATGAACCAGCTAATGTGATTTAGGGGAAGGAAGGGTAGATGGTAGTTGCATTGTAGTGGAGACCATTGATCTTGCTACATCTGCATTGTTTGTAGCATACTATTGCTACCTCCTCTCAGCTCTCACAGCCCAAATGCCATGAAGAACTTGTTAGAGGATTCAATGGATGAAGATCCCACATCCATGAGAAAATTTGGAATCTAACCCCTTGAATCAGAAAAGTGGTTGCCAGATGATTAGACCTGGGTATCTTCACAACTTTTAATTATTTTCCTTTAATCCAGAGTATAACTTTATGTTCTAAAGTATGCACAAAGGAAATAATTTTGAAGTGTATCCACTTGCATAAATAACATTTGAACCTACAGTATAACAAAGGCCAATCTGTAGTTCTTGAGCCACCTGTGACTTTCAAGCAGTTTGTATCATGGGTATGTCATATGTTTATGCTAGTAAAAGATCATCATCTGAATCCCTAATTTGGGAAGAAGCAAACCAGCCAGAGCTGGTGAGATTAAAGTCAATGGGTCATCCTAAAACCCTGCTCAAACTAGTATTGAGACCTTCCCGTAGAACCACTGACACCTGCCTCATCCACCCTGCTCAGAGTGGAACCCAGAGAACCTGGGTTCTCTGAGGGCCATGGTCTACTTTTTTGGGGCCTAGTTATACAAAAATTTTGGTGGGAGAATTGCAAGTCTATTGAAAATTTTTTTTGTTTTCATTAGGAAAATCTACATGAAATATTTCAGCATGTTAGATTAATCTGAGTCTGGGTTAGATCAACGTTAAACTCAAAACTCTTGTAGCTACTATATCATCCTATTGAAGGGTTATTCTTGCCATTATCTTCTGTAATTCTTGGCTACACAACTCATTTCTGGATACATTAGTCTTGGCACTGACTGAAATGTAGTATATCATGGGATTATAATGCAGGTGGCACTTCTCAGGAAGTCTGAAGTTCATGGAATGAAGTTCCAACTTTTGCTCAGCTCTTGTCAGTATCCAGCCAGAAAATCATCTGTAACAGCAACTAAAGCAACAGAGTATTTATCTTTTTTTTTTATTATGGAAAAAGTAAAAATCTACATCAAGTTAATAACTTTTATTTTACAGGATCATGCATTAATTAAAGTCCAATTAGATAATTTATGGGAGAAGTATCAGCAAACAAAGCAGAGTTTATTCTCTGACACTATGGAAGTTCATTTGTACAAAACATAACTTTGCAGCTTCTTTTATGGAGTTTTGGTTCCTCTTATCATTTCTCTCATAATAGTTTATGTCCTCACTATTTATTTTAAAGTCCTGGAATATTTTTTTTTCCAAGCACATTAGCATCCATGTGCTTCTTTAAGAAACACCAGTGTGAATACCAATTTACTAAGCTAACCACATGCAAAGTCGAATTCTTCTTGAATATGCCAAACAGTACAACAAAGAGCAAAACAAGGTTCAGGTTGTATATTATGGAAAAAATTATTAGGAGTGTAGCACTGAAACAAGTCACACAAAGAGATTGTGGGATTTCCATCCCTGGATATTTTCAGGATGCAACTAGACAAAGCCATGGCTGACCTGGTTAATGATGGCAACACTCCCACTTGAGAGGGAGGCTGGACAAGACATGACCTGCAGTGGCTCCTTCCAGCTGGCATTTCTGTGATATGTGTACTACATTGATTCAGTTGTTCAAAAACTTACATTAAAAATGTCTGTATTTCCAGTATTTAGGCCCCTAAAGACTCTCCCTACAAGCAAGCATGACTCAGAGTTAATATTTTATAAAGGGTTTTTTGTTTGGGAAACTAAACCAGAATGTGTAGCACATTTTTCTGCACTCTTTGTTCCTGCTATTAACATTGTATCCTGTTGCTGGTATTTTAGCTGTTCTTGGAGTGCACAACATGGTCAACAACCCAAAATTTGATGAAGGAGGAGCCCGCAGTAAAGATGGAAAAGGAACCGTGAGAAGTAAGCAAGCAGATTTCTGTTGTGAGCTATATGTCATCTTTAGGGACTTGTACACCTATAGGTTGGGTGTATTGGTCTAATGTAGTGTAATGTAACTGGGCCTTGCCTTGACTGAACTAATTAATCATGAGGGGGAGCTCTTTAAAGTAAATATAATCTTAATATTCATTATGTATAACGACAACAGTACTATGCAAATAAATCATTCCTAAGGAGCTCTGTTTTCCTAGAGAGCAGTATCTGGCTCTGCAGAGGTGGTTGAAAGGATGGGAGTATTTAAGAAGCCGAGACATACACGTTTATTCCTCTTCAGTTTAGGCAGTGGACAGAAAACATAGTGAGCTGTAGCTAAGAGGTGGCCACATCCCAGGTCAGGCCATCTTGCCTCAAGTACCTACATGTACGCAACTGAAGAACAACTTGGAAGCACGGGGCTCGAATGTGGCAGAATCCCTGGCAGAGTCACATCAAGCTGCATTCACAGAGAGGCAAAGACCACGTGGATGTGCTCCTGCCCCAGCTGCTCTCTCTGATCTACCACCTCCATGTTAGCCCTGTGGCAGCGTGTTTAAACGCTGGCTGTTACACGGCTCCCTAGATACATGGGAAGTGTAATTGTTCAGGAAATCCCCCGTCAGAAGCAGCTGTAGTTACTAAAAACAAATCCAGAAATGTTTGCACTAAACAAACAGACCCTTGGTGAATCAGATCTTAGCTCAGCCACCAACAGGAGACTGGATGAGGGGAGAAATGAGTATGTCTGAATTCCAAGTTTTCAGGGCTGCCAAGCCTCCGTCCAGAGCTCATCACCTCCAAGCTCTGGGATATCAAGTGGGCTAAACTTTGCTTTTCAAGACAAAATTACAAAATGCCCTTTTCTCGGGAAGCAGTACTCAAAAAGTATTTTCTTGTAAGGCCTGAGAACCACAGCTATCTTTACCATGAACTTTCATTTCCATCCTTCTTTACTAAAGGGGAGGTGAGAAAGTAGACAGGACATTGTGTCACTTCATTTTTCTCAGGATTAAGACTGCCCTGCAAGCCTCCCCAAGTGGGGCCCTGTGAAAGCTGCCATCTATCTCATAACAGGCAACTGCATGCATTACTAATCCACATAGATTTCAGATTATTTTTGTTGTACTGAGTCAAAATGTGAGCTATGTGAGTCAGCTAAACTATGCTCCAATTGCAGACTTAAGAACCAGAAAAATCACCGTCCCGTCACTTTATTCTTTGGTCCGAAAGCATTACCTTTCCTTACCCAGATGAATTGCTTCAGTGAAAGAAGGTGACATCTCAAAAGCTGCCCATCAGTGTGGCAAAACAGCACCGTTATTAAAGAAAAAAGATAAAACTCATGGGAAGCGATGAGAAGCAGAAAGTGAAAAATACTGCTAACTCTAGGCAGAGTACACTGTGATGTTTAACCTGAGGACAGGGTGCAAGTCTCTCCCTAGCTGCCAGCTTGGCAGGGTGTTGCCACAACTGCAAAAAAATGCTTTGCTGTTTTTTCTTTACTTTCCATCCTTGCCTTCAAGATAGGGTGAATTCTCTAATATGCATTTTACCAGTAGTTTTCAATTTCCTACTCTCTAGGAAGGCTGGACGGTTATTCAGGCATATGTGAGGTCTCTCAGGGAATAAGTAAAAAAAAAAAGTTCAGGGTAAAAGGGAGCAGAATAGAAACCAGATCAACATTTGTGTATGACTTCAGCTCTACTAAGAGTATGAGTTTTAAAAAATATTTTTCTTTTGGCCCATGGTATGACATGAACTTTACCCATCGCACTGAACAGAAATGCATAGTACATTGAGACTTGAGCCCCAGTCTTTAAAATAACTCGCTGTCTGCAACATAAAATAAAAGGGTTTAAACATAGTTGTGGTCAGTAACGTATTCCTTTCTTGCCTCTGGTGGCTTGGGTGGTCAGGACTTATAGATTAATCTCCACAACTACGCGCGTGGGAATTAGAAATACTAATTGTGTTCTAAGCTATGATTTTTTTAATGCATCTCTAAGAATAATTATAGCTCATAACTGACATTAAAAACTGCATCTCTTTGGAGCATGAATACTCAAAGACTTCATAAATCTTGGTGCTGGCAGATGGACTTGCTTTTCATGCTTTGATAGCTTTATTATTTAGAAAGTGCAGATGTTGCAATTTTACAAGAGCTAATTGAATTTATAGTAAGGCTGATAGTATCAGCCTAGAGAAGGAAACAGAGGGACCTCCTGATCATGTTCCTTTATGTTCACAACATCTATAAATATTCCCAGTAACATAATGGGCAAGTTCTGAGCACCCCTTCCTTTACAGGTGTTAGACAAAGAACAAAGCAGCCCTTACAGTATGTTACATCCTATACAATAGTCTTTAAATCTGCTTTAGCTCAAATTAATTGTACTGGGACTTCTGTACAGAAAGGAGGAATTTGCCTGGGAGGATACTGCCCAGCTGCTGGGCCTGTAGCATCCAGTGACATGCTTCTGAGTGCACAGAAGGTGCAGTGGGAAGGATAATGGGGCCAATTCTCCTATTTCCAAGTGTTGTGGTTCATCTAAACCCTTTTTTGAATGCTACAGTACAAACCTAAATGGGATTTGAAAAGCCAGACTGTTACTGATGATGCCTGTTCCTCACATCAACATTTCATGAGATCTTGTGTTGCAGATGTGGTGAAAGGTGAAAAGGTCAAGCCTATCTTTGAGGAGCCACCTAATCCAACCAATGTGGAAGCAAGTTTACAAAAGATAAAGGCAAATGACCCTAGTCTCACAGAAATTAATCTCAACAACATAAAGGTAGATGCTGTGGTTTCATTTATGTCTTCATAGGAGAGTTTATTCAAGTATTTCCGAAGCCTTTGCCTTTTATCTTCAAATTTTGTGTCTGCTGTTCAGGAAAAGCAGGACACACAAGAAAGGGGTGTGGAGGGAACTGTTGTAGAGGCTCCAAGGTCATCAATGCCTGATATTGAATTAGATGCCAATTAAAAGCCCAAGGGGTGACTCCCTCTGGCTGCCTTTCTTTGGCAGATTGTAAAGCAGGATCTCATGGGCACTATATAATCATCACCAGCCAAATTCAATTAGCCCACATATGCAGATAGAGGAGGAGCTGGCATGCAGAGATTGAGCAACCAGCAGCAAAATAGGAAGCTAGCTCAGTGATCGGTCACGTGCTGGCATTGGCCTGACCCAATTAAAGGCAGTGCTGACATCGCATCCTAGCGCAGGCCTCCACAGGTCTCTGAAGGCCACTATAAGCAGAGGATGCTTTGTCCGTTCCGACATACTCTTAAAAGCATCAGGGATGTTTAATTTCCATAGACTGTAGCTATTGATCAGTTTGATGAGAATTAAAATCGGCATCTAGGGATATGACTAGCTTTCCTAATTACTGGATTTGTCTTCTTAATGCAGAATATTCCTATTCCAACACTGAAAGAATTTGCAAAAGCTTTGGAAAGCAACACACATGTGAAGACATTCAGCCTTGCAGCTACTCGAAGCAATGACCCTGTAGCTATTGTAAGTTTAAACACTGTTTAGAAAGAAGTCACAACAATTTTTAAGTAAGTCTTTGTCTGCTTTAGAATGCATTCTTCGTTTTCCCTTGCAGAATTTCCCTGTGACTATGCAAAGTAGAAGTGTAATCTATTCTGATCTACCTCTATGTTCTTCTAAGCCTATTTGTGTTTTATTCTTTGTAGGTACGAAGCCATGTTTTATGTTTTGTAGATTCTCTGTTATTCCTGACACTTTCGAGACATTATCTCATATTCCTTCTTTCTGACTCCTCAGGCATTTGCAGATATGTTGAAAGTGAACAAAACACTGAAGAGTCTGAATGTGGAATCCAACTTCATCACTGGGACGGGTATTTTGGCACTGATTGATGCACTGAAAGAGAATGAATCCCTGACAGAGATTAAAATTGATAACCAGGTAAAGAAAGAGCATTGAGTGAGTTCCACTTTTGTTTCCCTTCTATATGGATTCCCAGAGGGTTTTCCTAGAGGGCTCTGGCAAAGTCAAGGCAGCCTCTGTGGCTCAGTCATTCTGCAGCTCATGTCCCATGCCCATGCAACGAAACAGTGGAAAACTTCTAAATAAAGCTGGTCAAAGCCAAATATAAAACCCAGAGCAAAATCTCTACGGACAGGATTCCCTGTGTAGTTTGCAGCACAGGACTGAAATAACCACTTTTTTCTCTCTTACATGAAAAACAAATATTTTCTTTCCTTTTGGCAATGTTTCACCACATCACCAACAGAGGCAGCAGCTGGGGACAGCTGTAGAGATGGAGATTGCCAAGATGCTGGAGGAGAACTCCAAGATTCTCAAGTTCGGGTACCAGTTCACAAAGCAAGGTCCAAGAACCAGGGTAGCAGCAGCTATCACTAAAAACAACGATCTGGGTAAGATGCTGCTAAATCTACTCATCATTTGTTTATGTAAGCCAAGCCCCGACCTTCCTAGACACAACTCTTCCTGTCTGTACATGAGATTGAATTTTAACTCTACAACATTCAATCTGCTATATGTGAGGGGTGTTCTGGGAAGGGGAGTTACTTCAGCCTTTTCCATGGAGCACCATGGATTTCTAGCTGCCCTGTCAGCTGTTCTGGCCAGTAGGTAGAGATCCAAACCCATCCTGTCTGTTCCATGAACACAGAATTCCTCAATTCTTTGCCCTGCCCATGACAGACCAAGCCTGCCCAATGAAGGGAACAAAAAAAGCCTTTCTTGCTTGCGTGACCAAGTACAGGCAAAGCCTTCGTACAGCTTTGCAGGTTTTACCTGAGTGTGACATGCTCTACCTTGTGTGCTCAACACACAGAACAGGGAGGAGATGACTAGGCAGGAGTAGTTTACAGTAAGAATAATAGAAAAACAACTCCAGAGTAGAAATGATTAATAACAAAGTGGGGTGTCAAACCATGATGCCTTTTCTGGCTTCAGCTCAGGTTTCCCTCTGTGAGAACTAAGATAAAAGTTGAGCTAGAACACACTTCTTTCAACGGATACTTTTAATTTTTTTTTTTTTTCAGTTTTAATTTTTAGCGTACTTAAGTATTCCCATGATATACTATTGTTCCTGAAACTATTAGTGTCCTGGAATGGTATTTAAAACATTCACCAACAAAGAGAGAAGGACTTTTTTTTCCCCACTATTTAACAAATTGCCATTAGACATATACTCTGTACCTAATCTTAATTTTCCTGGTTTCGTATTGTATGGTTTTGTTCAAGATTTAGTAGGGCATGATACCTAAAAAATTCAATAAAATAAAATAAATGAAGCAACAAAATACTGAAAGCAGACACAAATGACTGATACTGCACTGTGGGCTTTGGAATAATGCAGTCTGTTTGCCAAGAAAGCACTATGAAATAAGCCTCCTGATAATAAAGTAACAGGATGTTTGTAGTAATATATTGTTGTTAATAACTTTCTGTAGTGAAAAGCATTTATTCATCCAGTTTTACTGGTTTTGTTCTGTACTTCAGCAGTTCAATATCAGAAACAGGACATGACAATACAACACCAAATTTTGTATCACACAAACAGGAGAACCTCACTAATCTTATCTGGTAAAGTCAGAGAAGACTCAATACATTTTTATTGTTGTATGGAGTAGGAAATGGTGCCCAGCTATACCTGCTCTATACCAGCTGTAACGCATCCTAAGTGCTGTAAAAATTCACATGGGACTGCCTGTCAAAATAATCCTGCCCTTAACACAAAGCTTGTCGCTTTCTGCTTTGCTAAATGGCAACTTCAACCTATTTTGTTTCTAGTGAGAATCCAGAATTAATTAATGTACTATCTGACGGCTGATGTGATTAGAGCATGTGAAGATTAAACAGATACTGAAAGGCCCAAAATGTTTTCCTTGTTGCCAGTAGTCACTGATATCAGTACTTCGGAATACTGTTTCTGTCACATTTATTATTATTTTCTAAGACAATATGATTGGTGCTTACCAATAGTAAAACACTTGTGCAATTAGAAAAGTTATTAATTTTTGATGCCTAATGCTTAAATAATCCAGAGCACTACCATGCAGACTAGAGCAGACCAGCATCAGCTTAGTTGGAACATTGTGGCTTTGGAAAGAACAATAAAACTGTAACAAAAATCTAAATTGAGCCACTGGGAGGAGGCACTGGAAATGGTGAATTCTCCATCACCTAAAACCTTCAGCTCAGAATCTGATTTTATAGAAAATGTATTGATAGGAACATTTGGTGAAATTCTACAGTCTGTGATATAGAAAAGTACAGTTTACATACAATTGTTTTGCTTAAGATCTGTTAATTATGGCATTTATGGACATAATCCTGCTGTTAGTGAGAAGGGAGTGTGTCAGTGAGAAAAGTCCTTAGGTTCTCAGGAAAGCAATACTGACTGCTCTTTTCTTGTTTTATTGGCCTAGTTCGTAAAAAGCGGGTGGAAGGAGAACGGCAGTAGCCACGCCATAGAGGATGCAAGGCAAGATTGGAGGGTGCCAACAACTGCAATCTCAGTGTTCACTGGTCAGAGGGAAGGCACTGGAAAACCATTGCAATGGGAGTTGCTCTTTTCTGTTAATGTCTCCTTTTAACGTTGAAAATGCAGTCTGTTCATTTTATACTTTCACAGTTAATTTAATTTTTATGAGAAAGATTCATAGTTGGTTTGATTTTAATGAAAAAAGTTTTACAGTATCTGAAGCCAATATGCAGAACCTTAACTGTGTTACTGAGCATACATAACATTGACACTGACCCTTGTTTTAGACAGTTTTTGATAGGTTAAAATATGAACTTGTGTATGGATAACGGGATTCTCTGCTGAAAATAGAAATTTTAGGGCCAAGTCCTGCAATGCCTTATGTTTGTGAATAATCTTTACTTATATGTGTATAGTCCTGCCAAACTGAATCCTGCGATGGGATGCTCCCAGGAGTAGAACTAGTAATGCCAGTACAAGTTTGCAGGATCACACCCTTGAGCCTCTCTCCTGCAGCTGGATCTCGGCAGCTGGAACCACATTGGAACAGCCCCCTTCTACCTTCTCAGGTCTCCACCTGTCCAGGTCCAAGTGCAGGCTCACACATAGATGTATAAACATTGTCAAAGTCTACTTGTTTACATAAACTTAAGTTAGGTGGATCATTTCACAATGTTACACTGATACTTGTTATTCTTACACCACACTGTAAAGTAATATTAGTGCTGCCAATCCTATAGGCTTTCAATATTTGGTTGTGGGTTTTTTTTCCCCCCTAGGCCAACAGGTTTTTATTTGCTACTAGAAGGCACAGTTTACAGCTATTAATCTTAATCTAAAGTATTCTGAGCAATATTTGTTTTGCCATGAGTTTGACTTTTTTTGGTTCTGGTATTTATGTACATTTGTTAGTATTATAGAACTGTTCTCAGGACCTTTTAGATGGAGATAAATTAATTAGTTAATCCAGGAGAGCAGCTGTACTACCAGGAAAAAACATTAAAAGAGTAGTTGTACCAACTACATAACTCAGATGCTGTACATAATCATAACCCAGTGGAAAGCACTTGTGAAGCAACAGCTAACCCCAATGCTCAACAGCATCAAAGTTTTAGCAAGAATTCAGTCTGATGTTTTGTTTTGTGTATTTTACAGTCTAAAACTATTCTCTATGTTTTATCACTGCCAACAGTTGTCTGACAAACAGCCAGAGATTCATTTTGGTTACACGCACGCATGCTGTAAGAACTAAGGGAGACTCTGGTTAGGTGCGCCACACATACCAATGCTTTCAAAAAAGCTGCAGAAGCACATGCGGGGCTAGTGCTGCTACCCAGGAAACACTTGCCCCTCCTGCCAGAGCTGCTTTAGAACAGCAGGGACGAAGCACTGCTTCCTTCACCCGGGTGATGGGACAACACTGGAGGTCACGATCACTACAGCTTACTCCTGACCCAAGGAGAGAGCTGTGAGCCACCGTGCAGCTGGGCATCCAGGCAGTGGAAACCACGGGAGCCCCCGGAGCAGTTGGTACATGTTTGACATACTTCCCCAAGTGACATTTTTGTGACCAGAGCTGGAGTGCAAGCTAGCGGGATGAAACCCCACTCTGTGCCTTTTATAATGGAAATGAGTAGGTCCAAGGCAACACTCTTCCCATTGGATACTGGTCTCCATACTGGGGCCCAAACTGAATAACGTACACTTAAATCCCACTTAAAATAGTTTCCTGAAGTGGACTGCTGAGCTGGGATCTAAAGTGCAGTATCCACAGTTTACTGCCCTGGAGAGTTCCCAGCCTTTATGATTTTCACATCTCCTTCCCTTCCTTAGAATAAGGCTGAAACCTCTGCTTTGCAAGTAAAAAACGCAACACACAGGGTAGTCTTGCTGAGATCCTGGAACCATGCAGGATCTGCTGTGGAAAAATTTTGATATCCCATTAAAAAAAGACAAGTTCTGTAACACAGTTACAACCGCATGAGCTTAAATAGAGTCCTTAAAAGCCATGCTGGTTACCAGGGGGATACCAGGCTTTGCAGCATCAAGTCTCATTTGTAAGAAGAATCCTCATCCCCAAAACCAAAAGATCATTGCTGCTGACAAACTTCCGTGATTAGAATCACACCGCCCCTATTCTTCTCTTCCTTTGATCCAACCAAGGGAACCCAACTGTCAATCTTTTTTTAAATACATTTTGAAGATTTTATTTTATTGGTTACTTTTTTGTTAAAGGATGGTACGTATGTATTTAAGGGAATAAAGTGCAATCCATTTTTAGTCTTAATTGCCATTTAAAGTGTTGGTATTTGCATGCAGAAGTTTTACAAGGATGGATTGGTCTGGCTGCTTCATGATGTCTGCAGCATGTCATACTATGTAGCTTTCCTCAAAGCCATACGAGTGGTTATATAGTCAGGTGGCACCATCCATGTCAGCTACAGTTTGCACCATGGACCAAGGTACCCAGCTGGGGAAGGCTGGGTGGGAGTTCCGTCCCTTCATCTGCCATGCGCTTTGCACAGGCGTGTTTCTGAAGGGAGGATTCCTCAGGCGCTCAAGAGTATCATCTCGAACACCAGCCCCACCATGCACGACCAGACAGCGCCTGGAGCTGTGCACGCCATGGCAGGGACCTGGGAGGTCTGGCTCCTTCCAGCATGTGTGAGAACTCCTAATCTCTGGCCATTTTCTCCAGGCAGCTGCTGCCAGCCCCTGCCGGGGGGGGCTCGGTGGCCAGGGACATCTCTGTCCTGCCTCTTCTGTGTGCTCCACATGAGGTCTTGGTTGTCACCTGGCCTTGAGCATCACGGATCAAACATTGCAACAATACAAAGATCTGTTCAGAACAGCAGCACACAATGGTGATGCTTGGAGGCAGATTTTCGTATTAATACAGGATTATTTAGCTGGTTAAAAATCTCTGCAACTAACATGAAGGGGGTCAGGATGTGACTAGTTATTTTAAATTCTACTTTCAAGCAACATCTGGCATAGTCAATGCTGAAGGGGGAACAGGGACAGTAGACTTTTTCTTTAAGCAAACATTCAGGAGTAGTTTTGTCTATTTTTGCACATTGCTTCTCGTGTTGACGGCTTCAGTTTTGTTTGTATTTTTTATACAATTTTTTCATGGAAAAGCTCAACTTTGTGCGTGTCCTAACATATATGTGAATCGTAGTGTGCACTAAGGACTGTATGTGTACATGTATAACTCGATGAAGATGTTCTGTCAAACAAAAGTAATTGCATGTGCACTGTATGATGTATATTACTCAAGAGGAAGGGAATTGCCACGCTATGTAACAGTGACTCCCCAGCATTGTGTTTTTTCTAATTAAATCTTCATAAAGGATTTGGCTTTTGCAATTTCTCATGGTTTTGTGCCTTGAATCAAGCCTCCCTTGATGCTCTGACATCAGATTAAGCAGCTTTCTCTACTGTGGCTCTCGCAGCTTTCACTTGCCTGGATTATCTACCAGGTTTCACCTTCTCTTCCCCCCATATTACATACACCGGGCTGAAGCTTTGTGAATGATGGTTCTGGGTACTCAGAACCAGGTCTGGGAGCAGAGAAACTTGGATTCTCCTCCCAGGTTTAACAGACATCCCAGATTTAAAGCAACTTCATCATACTTATCCATGCCTAAGCTTGCACACTCTAACATCAACCTAATACTTTCCTGCCTCCCAACTCAGTGAACGCTTGTGAAACTGAGCTTCTTAGAAGATGCAGCAAGAGATATACTTCTCTCTAAAGGAAATGCATGGGAAATTAAAACCTCAAATTTTCAGAATGTATCACTACCTGAGATACTTTGGATCAGATTTCTGTGATATATCTAGACATCTAAAGCTGCACATGAAAACCCATGGTATTTTCAGGAGTGACTAGGTACCAGTTCTCATCAGCTTTAAGTTTAAATACATAAAATACTGGTTCCTGTCCTTAGACAGCTACATACCATAAGAATCTGGCCCAGGTGCCCAACCCCTTTTTGGGAACTTACATGCTTTTGAAAATTATGCCCCATATCCCAAAGCTAGATTGTATTACTAGCATTCTTTTTTTTTTTTTTTTGCCATAGCTCCAAAAAAGAGTACATAGCGAAAAACAAAGATGACTGAAAAGCAGGACCCTTATTCTACAAGGCTTAATATTTTCTTTAGCTCTGGTTTCAATTTTTACAACTCTGAAATTATGTGACAAAGCAATAATAGATCTTGCAGGCTGCTGTTCTTTTTTGAAGTAAAAATGAGTGCAATTTATGAAAGGCTGCTGCCATTGGAACTGCAAAGACTAAATTTCACATTTTCTTCATCACTAACTCAGGAATCGGAGATTTCACTGTTTTTCAAAATTGGGAATCCAGTTCAACCGTGTGCAGTTGTATGCATAAAATCACTATTGTCTGATCAGGATCTTGCATCCAAAGCATAGCAGAAGCACTATGTCAAATTATCCCTCCTCAGCTAGCTTCTACTCAGAAAGCCTGCAAAATGGGCTTTCTGTGAGCATCAGGTAGACACATACATCTTTCCTGCCCTCTTCTCCACAGTGTCTCAGCAATTTTCCATATGATGTCTCACTAGAATTTGACACCAAGCACATATACTGATTTCTTCCAGGATATACACAGCTCTAAGCTTCAAGCGACTCAAGCACATTGTAGAGTGCCTGAAAGCATAGGCTGAGTTAATGAAATGGTTAAGCTGACCCTTTGAACCTATGCTGTACATTAAAATGCTCTGTACATTACACATAACCACACATGAAAAATGACAATTAAAAAAGAAACCTCAGAACACCTCCCCACAATGTGCTGTCTGCAATCCCAGGGAAGTTCACAGCTTACCCACAGAGAAACAAAACATCTTCCCAACCCATTCAAAGACTGCTTTTACTTATGTCAATAACTCCAAAATCTCACCATATCTTTCTACTTTTCCTCTCTTGCATGCCAAAAAATGGATGAGAC